TAATATATATATATATATATATATTATATATATAACATATAATATATAATATTAAAATTTAATCTATCTAATATATAATTGAAAAAAGTTTTTACCACTAAATTCTCACCTTCTATCTCGCGTCACGTGATCACGTAGGTCACGTATCGCACGCACTTGTGGGAGGTAAGTTCGCGCGTATATGTACTTGTGCGGTACCGTGCTGCACACGCAAGTTGCCCATTCTAACCCGGTTGATGACATCGAGTAAGGCGTGTTATCGCATTGCAGGCGTGCGCCCGATCAAAGTCGCTCAAAGGTCAAATGCTTAGATTCCCAAATATTTTTCTCGCGCCCCGCCGAGCGTAATCAGACGCTCAACTAAAAATAACACGATATAACAATATTTCGACAACTCTGTAAGTAATCGATGTGCGAAATAATTTCTCACATACGTAATGGGTATCACGATTTTAATTGCAACAACTCTGCCACACTTTTATTATATTTGACTTGTTTGCGAATATTGAAAAAAATCAACAACAGAAACGTACCTTTAACTTTAACATTTTCCAAATAGAATACAAATGTCTAGATAAGACGCGAGTTCGACTCGAAAATAATTCGAATAAGGGAAAGAACATCGATTACGCTTATACTGCACATACGCACAATCAAACCTTTGGTCTCTCGCGCGTTCCGAGCGAAGTTGGCCACGAACGCGCGAATGGGGCGCGAAGTTGGTCGCGAACGACGTAGCGACATCTCGCGGCGGACGGCGCTTTCAAATGGACAAAGAAAACCGAAAAAGAGCCCGAGCAGAGCCATCAACGGTGCGACCGATATAGCCGAGCGCGTAACGCGAGCGGATGTAGCAGGCGCCACGGTCGCGCTCGTCTATTCACGAAGAGAAGCACAGCGTGACGTAAACGACGATCCAAACAAGTATCAGCTGTGTTGCAGTCATTGTTCGCTGGCTCGTATCGGTCGGTTCTGGCAGACGGAACCCCGATTCGTTCGAGTCTCCTCCATCGGTTTGTACGTCGACGTGGGCAGCGTAATTTGGTGACTGTTGGTGGCCGATCTCGACGGTGGACACGCGTGGAGGCGTGAGAACGCTTCGGTGGGAATCCGACACAACGCATCAGCAAGTGGAGAGCTAAAGAGAGAGAAGAAAAAAAGGTGGAAGGCTAGGCTAAGAAAACGACTAGGAAAATCTTTTTCGTTTGCCCCAACGCAATCGTGGCCTTGTGTGCGCGCCTCAACCCCGGTCCCGAGCCTCCAGCCATCAAGCGCTGACGCTTACTCCTCGGGGGGGAACAATAATCGTGTGAAAAACGGAGCGGTACGTGCATAAGCCTGGCCTCGAGCAGCGAGTCGGACGACGGTGGACTCGCTCCGCCACCGCGCAAAAGGTCCCGTAGTTCCCTGCCGGCTACTCTACGACCAGCGGACGAGCACCACTCCTCCAGTTCGAACATGGATAACTATCGGTAACGATCGGGACGATCTTTGTTACGGGCGCGCTCACGAAAAATGCGATGACCGAGCGCGAGCGTGTTGACAGATTTTTTTCCCCCTCGTGCTGCCTCTCGTGCTGCCTCTCGTGATCCCGAAATATTTTTACACGTTCGTTTCTGCATCGCATCGGGTTTTTTTCCAATATGTTTTTTCTTTTTTTTTTTTTTTTTTTTCAACAAACAAATTTTCTCTGATTCGGGATTTTATTTTTATTCGAGTAAAAAAAAAAAAAATAAATAAAAATAATACTGTGCTCTTTATCTGAAATGCACATAGAACACAATGGCCTTATGAAACTTTGTATACATATTGCAGAGTGAAAAACAATATTTTCAAATGAAATGAAATCTAACAACTGATGTATTTTTGCAACTAATCATGGGATATTGTTATTGGTATTGCTATCACGAATGATATTTCAGTGTGCACGACAGCATTATGCAGCAAACCTCGAATAGTGGTGTTTCTTCTGGACTACAACAAAATGGATCTAAGACAGATTCCGGTGGACCACATGCCAACGGCAATTTATTGCTAGAATCTGATAGTGATGTCAATGGTGTGAATGGAGAAATAACTCAGAGTTTGGGGCCTCCAAAAATAATGGACAAAACCAATCAGGATATTGTGAGACTTATTGGACAACATTTAAGGACAGTTGGTTTAGAGTATGTAACTTACTTTTACACTTGCAGCTGCAAACACAAACTTGTTTATCTTAAGATACCGATATAGTGTGTACACAAGTATTAGTTTTACGTGACAAAAGTCACTTTGTTATATATATTGCCAGTTAAACCTTCAACCATTATTTCTCTTTGTTTCCTTATTGATTCATATTTATCAAGAGAATTGTATTAGCCTGTGTGAACTGTATCTGCTTGGAGGGAGAAAGTTAATTATAGAACTTTGAAATATATAGGTGCTATGTGTAGTATTTGCCAGTTATATTTACTTTATGACTACGAAAGAGGCAATACGGTAATGTGAAAAGAAAACATTGAGAATCCGGACTATTAAAATATACTAGAGAGATTTCCAAATTATTTTAATGACAAAAAAAGCAGTGCAATTATTAGCTTAATATCAAATTTACACATGTTTTTCAGAAACATCGTTGCTTTGTTGAAAATTCTTTTTGTTGATAAAGTTTTTTTGAAACCTATTTTGCATGAATTCTTGCAAAAAAATTAAATGATGAGTGCAATTCGTAATTAACAAGTGAGTAACAAAAGCAATATTACGTTTTAGTCGTACAGCAGATTTGCTTATGCAAGAATCGGGCTGTCGGCTGGATCATCCTGCTGCAGCCAAATTCAGACAGCACGTTATGGATGGTGATTGGAATAAAGCAGACCTTGACCTCAATGAACTTAAATGTTTTTTAAAATGTGCAAACCAGAGTTTAGTGGTAAATGCTTTTTTTCACATAATTAATGATCTCATTAAGTCACAATAATGATTTTTACACAATACAAAACACCTTGTGTTAATAAAATATCCATAACATTCGTAGTTTTTTCTAAAACCACACATAAGCGATCTGTTTTGTTTTAATGTCGTGCAGGAGATGAAATTCTTATTACTGGAACAAAAATATTTAGAATACTTGGAAGAAGGAATGGTTTTTGATGCATTACATGTACTGCGCAACGAGCTTACACCCTTAAGCCACAATACCGGGCGTGTTCATCAATTATCTTTATTTATGATGTGCAGTGGACGGGATGAATTACAGGTATTTCATATATACATAATATACACACACACAATAACAATATTACGTTCTAGACTCATGTCACTCGAGTGTCTTGCACTAACAAGTTCCTGTGAAAAAAAAATCCTTTTTGAAATGTCTTCAAAATTAACTCGAATCAATTTGGCTGTACAGCCCTTGATGAGCCCCGGCCTCATCTTGAAACTAACTTACAACTGAAAATTTGATCATTAGCAAATAGACACTTGTTGACAGACACGTGCAGGCTGGGATGGAAAAGGCCCAGTTTCCAGAGCTGCGCTCATGGACAAATTGCAAAAATACCTACCACCATCGATTATGTTACCGCCACGACGACTGCACTCTTTACTATTGCAAGCCGTGGAAATGCAAAATCAACAGTGCACGTATCATATATCGAATAGGCAGGTATAGTAAATTTCAATTGTAAATTTCAACGATAAGAAAATTTTTCTGACTTGTTTACGTTTATCGATGACTTTTCTTTCCAAAGCAAATGAGTCTAGAGAATGTCTCTCTGCTCGTGGATCACAATTGCGGTAAGGATGAGTTCCCGTGTCATACCATACAAATACTCAATGATCATTGCGATGAGGTTTGGTTTTGCAAATTTTCACCGGACGGTCTTAAACTGGCCACAGGCTCTAAAGATATGACTGCAATTATATGGGATGTAGATCCAGTGAGTACACGTATCATTTAAGAATCATCGAAAATATGCTGAATATCTCAAAAAATTCACTTTTTTCAAACTTCTTGAATTTTTGTGACTTGATTATTTAAATATGACTTCATTATTTATCCAATGTAGGAAACGTTAAAGATAACGCATAGAAAAACACTCGAAGGACATACGTATGGTGTAGCGTTAGTTGCCTGGAGCCCCGACAGCAGTCATATAATTGCGTGCGGACCTGAAGACTGTCCCGAATTGTGGCTTTGGAACATTGAGACGCCGGACTGCGAATTGCGCGTGAAACTGACTCAAGGCACAGAGGATTCGTTAACTGCCTGCGCCTGGCATCGAGATTCGAATAAATTTGTAGCAGGAGGTCTTCGTGGTCAATTTTATCAATGCGTACGTGTTGATATTTAAGAGAAATTTGAGAATATAATTAAAAATTATTATTAAAATATATTTTTTTAATTAAAAAATATATACGCATAAAAATATAGTTTATGCACAGAGATAGAAAAATTTATAAAATTGTTCAGGATATGGACGGCAATGTTTCCGACTCCTGGGAAGGAGTGAGAGTAAAATGTCTGTGGTGTCGAAGCGATGGGAAGACTGTTTTAGCAGCAGATACGCATCATCGCATTCGCGCGTACAACTTCGACGATTTATGTGATTTCACAGTGTACGATTTTTAGTTAGCAACTGATTTTTAGTTATATGCATTGCAATTGTCAACAATTGCTTTGTTGAATAAAATTTATTTGTATTATTGCAGATTACAAGAAGAACATCCTATTATGTCTTTCACCGTTAACAAAGCGGACCGACTTGTGGCACTTAACTTAGCGAGCCAAGGCGTTCATCTCTGGGACTTGCAAGACAGATGCCTTTTAAGACGTTTCCAAGGTGTCACCCAAGGACATTTCAACATTCACAGCTGTTTCGGAGGAATGAATCAAGATTTCCTTGCGTCTGGTAGTGAAGGTTTGTAAATAAACAATGATCAAAATTACAATATTTCTTAAATAGATTATCTTTAAAGAAGTTTTTTCTTTAGAAAAATATTGTAATCATCATGTATTTGTTTCACTATAGATAATAAAGTGTACGTGTGGCATGTCAGAGGAGAACAACCTATAGCGACTTTCACAGGGCACAGTAGAACGGTGAATTGTGTCGCATGGAATCCCGTTTACCATCAAATGATGGCTTCCGTATCGGACGATTTTACAGTAAGGATATGGGGTCCACGGTCGTATGTTCCAGACGGAGGTGTTGAAGAAAAGACCGGTAAATTTCTGACGTGACGTATGGAATCTTGCAAGAAAGAATTCTTTATAATCCGTAAAAGAATCGTAGCAATGTATCGTATTGGTGGTAAATTTTATGTGTTGCTATTTTCTCGAACACGGTCTTTCTCAATTTCAGATCAAACCAGATTAGAAAATTGTTCAAAAAGCAGCGGTTGGCACGAAATGATATCGTAGCGAACTACAGAGCACCAGTGTTTCCATGACCTCACGGTGTTCAAAAGACTGTCATACTGACTTGACTGTCGCACTGTCTTGTTGATTATCATACATTTTACTGCCTTCTGCAGTTGCTCCTCCATACCTCGTGTCGCGGTCTCTTAGCCACCAACCGCCGTGTATGAAGGTAAAAACGGGAGGAATGTACATGTTAGCAACGATTGCTAAACAAGCCGCCAACAACTAAAAACAAAAAAATCGAAACCAAGCGTCAAATTATGATTTTCACACATTTGTGCATATATCTTGTTTTTCTTTTTTTTTTTTTTTCATATTAACTTTACGTATTTTATATATGCATCTCCCATATAGTGTCCGTTATGTTATCGTAATTAAATTGTCGAGTGATTTAATCGTCAGAGCTAATAATCGAAAAAAAAAAAAAATATGACACAGCATAATACAATAATATAGATCATATACGACAAACGTAGAGAACGAGTAAAATTCCGTCTTAGGATTGATGTGTAAGGATAAGATAACATAAGAATAAGAATATGGAACGCATTCACATGATTGTTGTTGGGACAAGTAACCGTAGAAACCGTTATCTTTTGACAGGAATTTTGTCAAATTTGACTATAATTGTACCAATAAACATTGTAAATAACAGTTTCGGATCTAGAGTTTTATTCTAAGTCGTTCGATTAATGACACACTATCTTTAAACGTGTGTGTTAGTTTTCATTATTTTTGTTTTCCGTTGAGAGACTGTATAAATTTTTAAATATGTACCACGATCTCTCTCTTTCTCTGTCTTTTTCTCTCTTTCTCTCTCTTTTGTAGGAGAGATTTACTAGACTTCGTAGATTGAGCAGAAATTCAAGAGCGTTTTGGTGAGAAGAGATAATTTTGTTGCGTTTATTGCAGCATGCGCCAAACTACAGAGCGAAGATATTTAGAACAGCGATATTTGTAAATGTGTGAAATTGCTTGACTGTTTAGGCATTTATCATACGTACATATATATATATTATATATATATATATATATATATGTATATATGTATGTATAAACATCCAGATTTAGTTAAATTTATATTCGTGATTTGCAAAAACTTATCCAGAGTTTAGGGTTGTGTAAAAATCCAAACAATCACAAGTCTCGGAGTGGGGAAGTGGCAGTCGTCGCATTTGCGGCGCAGGCATATCCGAAGCTCGAATCGAGACACATTTTGTTTCATATGATCAGCTTATTCCCGTAATATGTTAACGATGATAAAATTGTTTCTCTGAGTTACATTAGGTTACAGAGTAAGGGAATAGAGTAAAATCCAAAAACAAATTGTTTGGCGTTATAATAATATACTATATGTAATGTTTTTATATTTTATATATATATATATAATTGTACACTTGAGATAAGCAAGATAGAATATATAACAAATATTGGTTGTCTTTAAAAAATCTTAAGTTTCAATGTGTAAAACTTAATCTCGGTTGTGTTTTTGCGCAGAGATAGCGATTTGGATAGACTTTAAGTTTGATCATATTGAAATTCTTCGATTAAAAGTTGCAATATCGTGTGATACAGTGCAATGTAAAAAAAAAAAAAAACGCATTCTCTTTGATCACCATTCAAAGCTTGAACTCTGTATGTACTACAGTATAATAGAATAGTATATAATATTATATATAGCATAGTATATGTAATATATATCAAGTTCAACTTGTGGAGACCTATTGCAACAAGTAAAAGAACTTTGTTACTGAGAGACAATGTGTAACAATAATTTTACATGAAACTTAAGAAAAAAAATGAATTATTTATGTACGAGTAAAAAATATTCTATTGTATCATATCAAACAAAATATGTCGTGAAACAGGATGCAAATATATTCGGATATTGACACGATCCCACAAAAGATCCTTTGACACGGTACTTGACCTGAAACTCGGGACCTGCATATTCTTTTTTTTTTTTTTATTCGGCGGTATGTTGTATAGGCTGTATTGAAAAAACTTCGAAAACAAATCATAGAAAATTTTTTTAACTGTTGAAAGTTTTATTATTTACTTGCGCAATTAAACAACTCTGATATTATAAAACCTCTGATACGAACATACGTAGATAAATATTGGCGGATATATAAAATACTACTCTCGTCTTATTAACTGCCATATATCGAAAGCTGTAACGTGCTATCTTTTTTGAGACTTGTATATTATATTTAACACAAATATTGCATTACACACAAGCGCGCGTGCACTACGCGTACAATCGTACACACACGTACACACACGTAATGTGATAATATTCTGGTAGTGTGATTTAAATAGAATATTGAATAAAGGTAGTACATTTATTTTTTATCATTGTTGCATATTTGTTTGCAAAATCAATTTATAGATTACGCAATGAGAAACTCGCAACAACAAAGATCAACAATAAAATTAATAATAAAACAACCATTTCCATCATTTTAACGACGATTGACTTAACTTGAGTTGCAATAAATATCAACAATTTCGAGTACAATGGCAATTAACGGGATGAGCATATAAAAAAAAATAAAAAAAAAAAATAAAAAAAAAAATAAAAAAAAAACAAGTTTATTTTGTCGCGCGGAATTAAAGTGAAAACGAAACGACGTTTAATCAATCGAGAATATCAAGAGACTTAGGCTAATATCTATTATATATGTAAACATGTATAAATATTTCTCTTTGCAACATGTATACTACTATTAAACACATTTACACGCAAAAAAAAACTTCTGTAGTTGATCTTAAACGTTGATATAGGAAAAGTAACGTAACATCAATCTCACCATTATCATTTGCATTTACCTCTGGTGCCTTAGCACTTTGTATAATCTAAACGGAAAATTCACAACTTTTCTTGCGTATACTTCGGAACGATCGATTTGATTTGTAGTCCAACATCTATATATACAATATATATATGTGTGTATATATATATATATATATATAGATTGTGCAAATTTTGTGTACACAACAACGGTAATAAAATCATGAACTGCGTATAACTAAAAACAAGTAATCACACATCTTTATGTGTCATTTGAATTTTATTCGCTCTACACTCACATATCTGAAAAGATTGAATCTATTTCTTTTTATTCTCATATTAATCTATATCATTTTAATTAGATACCATATATACGAACACGTACACTATCTGTGTAACATTGAATATAGATACGAATTGTCCGTTTGTCATGAATCTTTGTATTTGCCGTTGTATGATACCGTGAAAAAAAAGCAATAATGAGACACACTTCCGAAAGTTTTAATTTTTTATAGGTTAATAATAATTGTATAGGTAATGATTATAAAGGGAGATAAAACAGAGAATGTGTTACACACAATTGAAAATTGAGACTTATCTTTTTTATTGGATAAATAAAATAACAAAAACTTTTGCTTTTACTTTTAACTGTAGGAAAACTGTACGCATTGTCCCGCATGTAAAATTAGATTTATATATATATATATATGTATGTATATATATTACACACAAACCTACTGCAATTTCTTTTAACTGCGAATTCTTTGTTGTAACATATATATATAGTCTTGATTTTTCCTTAACAAAAAAACCTATGTGACGAAACATAACTTCTTACGGAATATTTTAATATTCAACATTTTTAAGAGTCCACTTGTCGGATGTAATGTATAATTTAACTTAGAAATTCTACATGTAATTTATACATAAAAAAAGAATTACATATAATAATATAAAAAAATTATATAATTAAAACATTCTTGTGATTTTTTTATATAAATATTCAAAAATGTGTAAACTTTCTGCGCAAAAACTGTTTTTGCAAATAGAACTTACACAATTGTGAAAAATTTTTTTATTTTATAAATTCTTGACATTTGTAGAAAGTTGTAGCTCTGTCTAAAGTGAGATGGTCTTGATAATTAAAATAATACATGTAAAATTTTGTTATACATCTGTTTTACGTAACAGTGTGTAGCAAAACACATATATATATATAACAAGGAAAACGAAGTTCTGTATTTATCACAATTTTTTATATAAAAACTTTTGATAGCGTAATATCTTTGTTAAATAAAAATTTAATTTTTATCAGTCACAATTCTTGATTTGAAAGAATCCGCTTTTAGGAGAAGCGCAATTAGTTGTGCTGAACACATTTTGTATAAATAATATATATATATATATATATATATATATTGAACACAATATGATGTATTTTTAATAACAGTATCGTGTGCGTTAAGTTATACATGTTATGTTGCAATTACATGGATTTTTAAATTTTACTTTTGAAAGATATAAATAAAATTTAATACTAAATGTGGCATTTTTCTCTCTTTTTCTCTCTCTCTCATATGTCGTGTATGCGTGTATGTGTACTGTAAAGTAGATTTGTTCTTTTGTTATTTTTTGCCGCTACGTACATTTTCTATATTTTCCACTCATTGATTATCGTGATCACGCACGGAACATTACGACTGTTTTATTATATTTGTGCATGGGCTTTGGAGAACACCGATAAACAGATAAACAGAATGCGAGAGAGAGAAAGAGAAAAAAAAACGAGATATACACATACAATCTCAGTACACACATCCATACGCACGCTCGCACGAAACTTTTAAGCACTTTGTCGATAGTTGTATCGCTGTGCGGTTTTCTACACATATGTGAGACTACACAAAAAATAGACGCGTTCTATAACGAATATATTTTAAAAAAAATTTCTTATTTAAATATATTTGAAATATATTTACAAAATATAAGAGAAATATCTCTAATAAAATAATATACATGAATAACGCAACATTTTCGAGCTGAGTGTGATCGACTATCTATTACACAAGACAGGACTTGTATAATAGATAAGATCTCACCTTGAATAAAAATACGCTTGCACATACGTACTAGAATGAAAAAAACAAAAATCAATGTTTTCAGAGAGTAAGTGCGATTTTCAGTTACACAAGTGATTCTCCCGCTTGAAGAAACAGTATAGGTACTGTAAATCAATGTTAATTGAATTAGTTTTTCACGACGTTTTAATTTCCGTGATTCACATATTTTATATTATAACATTCAACAGCGCGCACTCAGATTGGAAGGCGCGCGTTTGAGATACGGTCTCAAAAGACAATAGACGATAAATCGTCGTAGATGATTTTTCCTTGTACGTTGTTATCTACATACGTCGAGACATGTTGAATGAACTGGCGGACGGATTTCATTGATTTTGAATCCAATCCAAGCCGCGCGAATTGTGACCTACTGACTTGACACGTCACTGTCTCTCGTCGCTGTTGCAATTGGCGGATGCATATCCGTGTATATACTTGACTCAGTACCGTATAAATAAAAGTTGTTCCAATCGGTCTTCAACGCAAAACACATCGCGATGAGACATTTCTCCACTTCTATTACGTCAAGCAGCAGAGAGTTTACGTATCTTTACCTACACACGAACAATGATTTTAAATGATTTTAACGACTCATTCGAACTGCAAAACTTCATTAAAATATACGTGTCTCATTGATATAGAAAAAACGTAGTTGTTATACGTCCCACATTGGCTCTTGGAGATGGACAAATATTCTTTGAAGTCCGAACTTCTCGAGAGCTCTCGTACTTACATATGTGCATAATCATTAAAAACACATGATTATTTTACAATAAAAAAACTTTTTATACTCTTGCACATTTGTATGTACTGTGACGTGACATTTTTCGTGCCCGTCACAGGGATGCATTTCCGGCCGGCGCAGGAGGCGATGAGATCGCGTTTCCTAATATTTATAAGGGAGAGCATTCATTAGATCGCGTAGCGCTAGCGAATGCGCTTACTTTTGCAAGGACGCATTGCGTCTATGTTGTCTGTTGCGAATGTCTCCTAATGAATTACCGTGCTAATGTTCTCATCTCCAGAGCAGGTCGTTGCCATTGGGGTTTTGCGACATTTTTGTAGTATCGTTGCGTATCGTGCGGCCCGCTTGGCGGCTGTTTTGTAATTGATTTTCAGCGCGAAGAGAGAGGCACACTTTACGTATTCGGCGGATAGAAGCGAGCGAAGAAGAAAAAAGAGGAGAATAGCAAGAGATACAGGAGCGTAAGGTAGGGCACAAATACTCGGCGTTAATTTCGACCGGGGTCTCAAAAGAGAAAGAGGTGCGCACTCCGATCTCTAAACATCCGAATCGGAGCTCCCATTGAGAGGCTCGACGATGCTGAGACATGGGCCTCACCGAGCTCGCCTCAATATTTAATCGAAGCAGAACGGGCCTGATACGGCCAAGAAAAGGCCCGAATCGTTATTACGCCGGAAGAAGTGGCTGCTGTTAATCATAGCGCCGCGGAAGAAAGAATCTGATTGGCCTAGTTACTTAGCGCAAAAGGCAGCGCTCAGCTAAGAGAGTAATTGCCGAACGATGTGAGCTCATTATTGCGAATGCCGTTGGACACGCGAGTTCATCGCCGTGCGAAGTGCCGTGGTGAATGCCGGACAACGCCCCAGAAGGGAGGCCACGGAGGCCACTGATGAAGACCGAAAGTACAGGACTTGGCTGTCGATTTATAGATTGGAGGACAACCGTCGAGCGTAAGTTTGGCTGTTTCTCTTTTTCGCCCATTTCGCGGTTCTATCTGGTTCTGTATTAGCAAATCGAGTCCCGTCGGGCCATCCCGCGAGCTCGATATCGCACAGTATTGCCAAAGAATTAATATATTGCGTTTCGCGTTCATTTGATGTTAATCGAATTGATATTAATTAGTGAAAATTCTTTGCCGCTGCCCCCCGGCTTCTGTTACGCTTGCAACAATCCTGCTATCACCCGTTGTAGTGTATCATTTTGTGTGTTCTTGTTTTTGTCTTGTTTTGTATCGAAACCGTCGTACGTCTATCGCGTTCTCGGCTGTAATATCGAATTCACGCAATAACGTTATCCTTGCCGAAAAATCGCGGCCGTGTGTCTAATACGTGTCCGATCGGAGTTTACCGTAATACAATTGAGAATTGTCGAAGATTCGTGCGACGGAAGTAGCGTAGTCATCCGTCGCTATTTTTTGCCGCAACCGATTAATTATTGTTCTACGTGCCTTTACCGTAATGTAAGCGCGAGCGGACAATTGTTTATCCGCAGTCGCCTTATCTATGGTCCGTCACATCGGTCGTCGCGCTTACGCGTTTGCATTCCAGCGCATTTGTATTATCTCGCGATCACCTTAGAGCGACTATCTTGTGATATTTGCGAACACACAACAAGGCGTTTGTTGCCGTTCGTAATAACCGACTTTATATAGACGGATGGACTGTATCCACCGTGCCGGACGCTATAATAAATGTACATTTATGTTATTTTATATCATATATATTAGTGTGTATTATTGACTAAGTTTCTCTGCCTTAAAAAAACACTACCGCCTCCTGAGCCCACGCTTCTCCGTTAAGTTGGAATAGTGATAGTTCACGTCTTGCGCCCAACTATCGAACATTGATGAGTAGAGTATAATTAAAAGAACTTGAAAAGAACGTGCCGAAAGTGTGCCGCATCTTCGCAATAAAATCTTACGCGAGGTGCCTGTCACAAATTGGCGCCCAACGTGGGGCCACGTTGCAAAGAAAATTTATACAAAGCCTTTACGAACAGCAACTAATGGGGAATTTTAGATAAGTAACAAAGAGGCAAATTAATAAAATTTATAACGAGACGTGTAGGGAGAGAAGCTTAGTCAGAGAATATATAAATTGTTTTTTGCCGATTGTGTGATCTATTTGGTATTGCTGCTTATTGTGATAATTGATTTTGTTTGTGCATGTGTGTGTATAACAAGGATCCGGACCGGACTGAAACCGAAACCGATAACCGGACCGTAACCGTTATTTTAGTCAAACCGAAACTGAAAACCGGCCCGAAATATTATGTAGACTAATGGACCGGAACCGTAACCGAACCGAAAACTATTTCCGATGTTTATTTCGGTT